GATGTTTATCCTGTATTTGATTGTGTTTATCTGCAGTTAGTTACACGAATTCAGATATGGGATGAATTCGGATAGGGATGAACGGGTTTAAAAGTTTTTAAGAGTTTAAGAGTTTTTAAGAGTTTTAGTCAAATGTTTTATAAGATAGTATAGATATATATATATATATATATATATATGGAGAGAGAGAGAGAGAGAGAGAGTTTGATTGCACAAATATCAAAGGTTGTATAATAATCAATCTCTATATATATAACTAGAAAAGTTGAATAAAATATTAATATATATATTTAGATACTTACTTTATTGACATCTAAATATAGATGCCAACATTTTAGACCTTCATCTTTTTAGTGTTGGGTTGAAGATGAAAACACCTCCATTTTTTGGTATTAATATTGCGTTCGAGATGGTCTAAGCATCTCCAATGCATTCTCCAAAAATAGAGAATCAAACTTCAAAATCTCTATTAAAAATTACATTCAGCTAAAACATATTCTCTATTTTTTAGATTATATCATTAATTATATTATTAATATATTCTATACATTTAATTAAATTATTGTACCATTTTAAAAAATTAAAGTATCTAATATAAGTTATTAGTAATTATTAAAATGTTAATATTATTTTGTAAAAATTATTTCTTGTTTCAAATCAATAGTCTACTGTTTCTTGCATCTTTGTCCAATCTGTTTTGGTTTAGGAGGTGTTTGAAATTGTTTATTTGAAACAATTTATACTTTTATACAAAAGTTCTTATCAGCTTATTATAAGTTAGAATGATTTAACTTCTTTAAAAACTTCCTATTACCAGTTTGACACCAGTATGAACTGTTTATCCGAACATTCGAAAGTGTTTATTACCGGTGTCATATCAGAATAAGTCAATAAGTTGTTTTTATAAGCAATCTCAAACATCCTCTTAATAAAGTCACTGTTTGCGTGTTAGGAAAATATTAAAAATTATTATAAATTTAATAAATAATTTTCAAGTCTAATTAAAATATATATATATATATATATATATATATATATATAAAGGAGTGATCATATGAAAACCGACCTCATTTGTGTAAACCTTGCAAACCACCTTCATTTGTCGATTTCATTGTTTAATCTTATGAAATTTTTTCATGAAATTGTTTAATCTTGTGAAATTGTTTCAT